GTAAAAGACGTGACGTCTCATCAGCCGGCTTGTTTGTTTACAGAGCTAGCATGGATGCTACATTTTGCACATCGAACATAATATTTACCCATCAATTTTTGCATGATAATTGCATTTCATTTTCATTCTGTTTAATATTCAACAAGTTGAACAGATAATCCACCCTAACCCCGCTACTTGGTATCGGTATCGGTATCGGCGAGTACCCAAACTCAAGTACTCGTATTTGTACTCAGTCTTGAAAAAACTGGTATCGGGACACCCCTATTATTAACATATTACAAAACAAATTTCTTATTGCTCAGATGAACGGTTGTTGAGATATTTGCATGTGAAGTAACAGGAAGTGACGTCAAAGAGGAATGTCTGCATGTGAATATTTAAAAAAAATAAATGTTACCAATTACTTTAATATTTGAGATGAATTACAGTCATCCTACTTACAATGTGTTAACATTTTTAAGACTTCTGAAAGACTGATGTAAGACATTTTAAGGCTTATTAAGGCCTTATTTTTGGATTGATGAATTCAATGCCTTTTAAGACTTTTGAAGGATCTGCAGGAACCCTGCATACAGGAGGACACATTTGTGCTCACCTGGCCATGCGTCCAGAATGCCTGGCTTCCAGACTGCCATCGGCTGGACTCAGAGACCAGTTGAATCCTCCGGCGTCCCCGCGGTCCTCTTTTTCTTCACTGTGACTGCGGTCCGACGAGAAGCTCAGGTTGGATGGTGTCGCCAGATGTTCTGTGCTGCTGTAAACCTTGAAAGTCAAACAACTTTAAAATCAGGACCTGGACTGATTGCTGGCAGCCGTACTGGCAATCTTCTAATAATTTAGTTTTCAGTGTACAAAAGCAATCCTCATAGTAAAGTTGTTTTTCACGTTAAACTGAAGTGTTCACCTTGCTGAAGCGATGCGACCAGGAGGAAAACTGTCTGATTTCCAAAGACGACTCGTCATCGTTGGTTTCTTCGTCTTCATCAGATGCTAAATGATGGTAGCGATCGGAACGAGCTTAACGCAGGAAAACACAAATGAGGCAGAACTGAAGAGGAATTTCCTTCTACACCTTTTCAGCATTGTTTTAAATCGACTTTTGATAATAAGCAAAGTTCGTACTTCATCAATTTTCACTCATCTCACACTGAACAGGATGTTTTAAACGTAACTTACTGTCAAAGTAGCTGGTATCATCCTCTGCTTCAAGCTGAGGAATGAATTCTGCTTTTTGCCGAAGGAGTCCGTTCCAGTCCAAACCCAGAAAGAAAGGATGCTGCTTCACCTCTGAGGCGCCACCTGTTAACGCAGTATTCGGAGTCAAATCAATCCACAAATGGGTTTGTTGTTCCTTCATCTAAAAGTCTCAGGGATTCAACCTGATTTAAATACAACTTTATCAACAGCACCTACCTGTCCCCAGTCGTTCTAAAGGGCTCTGCCTCAGCAGCCGGGTGATGAGGTCCTGGGCATCGACAGGCAAGGCATCGTCTCCTTCTGGCCAAATGATTTCATCTATTCAGCACAGAAACATTACGTTAATATTAAGTTCACATAAAATAAAATAATAAAAACAGCTACAAGTACAGATATATGGGTATATTCTTTATGGATCTACAGACATCAAAGGATCAGATTTTTGTGTTTTTTATTGCTAAAACCTGAGTTACCTTTTGATGTTGCAGAAATGTACTATGTTTGCACTCATACAAAAATATATTGGGTATTTTTATAGGGAACTGTATGAGAAGTGTATCCAGCTACATTGTCACAAATATGGTCAAAACTGGTTAAAAAGCCAGTTCTGAGAGCGCAGCTACAATAAGCTGAACACGACTAACATTAACTAAAAAAACAAAAAAACAAAACTGAGATTCACAAAAAACTTTAAAAAATGCTTTTATTTCTGATATTTGTGTTTACTAAATATGCACATGTACTGACCACTAACAACTTGTCCAAATAGCTCCTCAGGAGTGTCTCCAAAAAATGGAACACAGCCCACCAGGAATTCATAGAGGATGATTCCCATCGCCCACCAGTCCACCGGCTTCCCATAGCCCTGTCTGAGGATCACCTCTGGGGCAATGTATTCAGGAGTACCACACACCTGAACAACCAAACCAACAAAAARGTGTTTAATCACTACTGTTTCAAATTAGTGGGGGTTTATTTTGTATTCCGGAAATTGTCTTACCTGCTTGTCAACAAATTCTCTCGTGTCCTTTTCCATGTGACCCTCATACAGGTTTGTGGTCATGTTCATCAAACCGATTTTAGACAAACCAAAGTCTGTCAGCTTAATATGACCCATAGATGTGATCAATAAACTGGTGCATGGAAAAAGAAAATACAAATATTAAACACAAAGAGATGCTAACACTGCAGCACAGAGGTGCTAGTCTCAAGAAGAAAATACCAAAAAGGAGAGTCAGGAGTTTGTTTCTTACTTGTCAGGTTTGAGGTCACGGTGAACAATGCCATAGTTGTGAAGATACTCTAGTGCCAGGACTGTTTCAGCAAAATACATCCTTGACATTTCCACAGGCAGCGGGCCCATGTTCTTTAACAAATTGGCACAATCTCCACCTAAACAAACCATAAAAAACTGGATGTAGACTGTATCTTTACACACTGGCTTAGAAAGCAACATAACCTGTGTTTGACATTGCAAGCAGCACATTTGATTTTTAGACTGATCAGTAATAGCTGCTAGTTAAAAAGAAATATAAAAAAAAAACATCAGCTGCTGTGTGAACTTCACCTTCAACGTACTCCATGACCATGCAGAGGTGGCGTCGCGTCTCGAAGGAGCAGAACATGGAAACAACAAACGGGTTCTCAGCAAAGGTTAGGATGTCCCGCTCCACAAACGCCTGCTGGATCTGGTTCCTCAACACCAGGTTCTGACGATTGATCTTTTTCATAGCAAACCGCTGACGTGTCTCTTTGTGGCGAACAAGATACACCGCTCTGTTAAAAGACAAAAGAAAACACACAAATGAGCATTTTTAAAACAATCAGGACTCAGAAGGCTCAGAGTTAAACCAAAGCTGTGTATAAAATATGAGAGTCACAGGTGTCTTCATGAATTTAAAGTTATTGTCATCTCATCCTTTCAATCAACCTTTTAGGAAACAAGTCTAGGATTAAAACGCACTGAGTTTCCTTCTTACCCATAAGCTCCGTTACTAATAAGTTTGATGGTCTCAAAATCACTCTCAAGAGGTTTCCTTCGAGTAGGGGTCAGGGTCTGAGGGGCTTTGTTCTAAAAAAAATAAAAAGGATAAATTAAAAACAATGCCGGAAATGAAGTTTCTGATTTGTATAGTTATTTAAAATGATCAGAATTGTAGAAAACTACACAAGAAAAACATATACAGGAAAAAGAAAATAAAAGCTAAACAGGTGAGCTCTAGCATCTCCATCACTGTGCCTGTGCGGGATGTTCCTTCCTGCTAGCCAAGCTCAAAAAAACATGTGAAGGAAGTGTGTATTAAGGTCATCTACTGTTATCAAATACTGTGTGTACTTTGAGAGAGTAATGAGTAAAGATTTACCTCCACRGCAGCATCTGGTTCCACCGACACTGAAGGACTGACGTCATGTTCAAGCTGTACCATGTCTAAAAGTAACAGAAGAAGATGCTGTTCAATGTTCAACTAGTCATCCTTCCGGCCCCATGTGTTATTTGACTTTCCCAGTGTTTCGAAACTCTCGACTGAACCTGTGAGTTCCCGTGTTGTAAATGTTTGGCTGAACAAACCTCCAGCCTCCAGCAAAGAGATGTGGAGATAAAGATTTGTGCAATTCACTAAGGTTCCCAAGTTCCATMACAGTGCATTATTAAAATACATGGAAAAAACCTTCAATAGTTTCAACACTACCTCATTTAGACAAAAGTCTATATTCTGATAGTTTATTAATATAATATTAAGCTAATTAATGTGCAGAGTTATGCAGCAAAGCATACCAAATTATCATCAGAATATTGATTTCATGTGGATGATGTGTAAAATTTTATTTTGTGCTGGTGCTACAACGTTTATAAAAAAGTTATCTCTTAATTAGCCCAATTACCAAATCCATCAGTACAGATTCGTCATTCTGACACACTTATCTGCTACATGTTGAGTATCTTTTTTTAATTCCTGGAACTTATTAGCTTCAAGTGTTAAAGAGTTACAGAAATTTCTATATAAGATCATCAAAATGCTAATTTATGCAGCTGTAAAATCAGATTATCCACATCAACTATCTGCAGCATCATTTCCTAATATGTATAATTCTGAAGTATTTTTGGACCAAAAAAACGATTGTGTGATATGATAAGCTCTCTAAGACATTTCTTTTTGTCATTATAATGCTATTAAACTAGGAACTCAAAACTTTGAGAACATGGAAAAACTCCAGGTTCACTTAATAAAAACTTTAAATTTTATAAAATTAGAGCGCAGCATGAGAACAAAATCTGAAGCAAGTGGTTCACGTTCCACTTCTGTGGCTTCTGTGAATCTTGACTTGATAACTGAGCTTCCTTTTACCTTCCAGTAGGTCTCGAGTCAGACCGAGCTGGCTGATGATGTAACGYGGGATGTCGGTCTTGATCCCCTGGCCCACTTTGGCATGACCCTCTGCCGCCTCAAGTAGATGATAAAACTCTTCTGGGTCAAACTCCTGTCAACAGCACGCAAAAGTAATTAATGTGGAGATTTTGAGGCCAGACGTTTGCCAGAGTGTGTGTGGTGTGTAATCTCTGTAATAAGTAGGACTCAAAGTCAGTGGTGGTTTTAGGTACCAAACTCAGGTTTACTTAGAATAATTACTTAGAATAATTTTCAGTAACAAACAGGACACGTTTTGCTGATTATACTAGTTGATTTTAGGAGATTCATTAAAGTTATTTCTAGAAGCCTTATATTATTTTGTTTAAAAGGAATGATGTACAGATTGTATTTTTATTGCAAGTATAGAGCTTTCTGTGGACTGAAAATGATTAAGACAATCAACTTTTTCCCATAACATTTTCCACTCKGCAGCTTACCAGGCATTCAAGGAGACGAGCTGGTCGGGAGATTATAATGAGGATCTTGCGCACCAGCTGGGTGATGATCGTTACCTCCTCACTTTCAGAGCGTTCGTAGGCCTGAAATAAACAGAAAGACAATGGGTCAAATGTAAAGCTAAAAAAAGCTGGACGAGTGTTTTCCTAATTTCCACACCCTTCAGTTTTTACTCAAGTTGTTTTACTGAAAAAGTCCAAATACATAAATCTAAAAAGTCCGTTTTAAAAATAAAATAAAGATTTGTCTCGTTTTTACGTGTGGTGCTGGATAAATCACACCTAAAAATAAGCTGTGCTCAAGTAATTTTTAAAATATGTCACTATTTAGAAAATAATGCCTGAAAATTCCAATTCATGGACTTTCTTATCACTAAAGATTAAAATCAAATACATAAATGGAAATATAGAAAGAAGCAGAGGTTTATAGTAACTAAGTACATTTAATTGTTACAGTACTTAAGCAATTTTTTGAGGATTTGTAATTTTACCAAGTATTTTTTCTTAATCGTGACTTACTTTCACTTAGTGACTTTTATTACCAAAAAATGATACTTTTACTTCTTTACTTTAAAGTGTAACACCTAGTTACTTGTTGTCTGAACTCATCATGAAAGGAGTTGTTTATGTGCTCTAAAAAATAAGTGTTGAATTTACTCAACTAAATCATATCAGCTGTTTCCACTAAACCTATTGGAGTAAATTCGAGGCGATTTACATATTTTATTTTAAAGAAATTGACCAATTTAATCAACTAGGTTTTGTGAAGCCAGTTTGGTTCAGTAAATTTAACAGCTTATTTGTTAGAGAGCATGGAAAAGTACTTTTACTTCTACTTTCCCACTTTTTGTGAACAGTTTTAGGACTTTTACTTAAGTAGCTTTCTCATCAGCGATGTTTATTTTTACCATAGTCATTTTCTGTCAAGGGATTTTTACTTTTACTTAGTTATTTTTTTCCAAGTACTTTATAGACCTCTGGAAAGAAGTGAGTCTGGCACAATTTGTGTTTGCATATGGAAACATTTGTTGCGCTGTATGGGAACACGCTTATCAATTCAGCTGCAGTTTCAAATTAGCCATGAAGTCTGTTGGACAGAGTGCAGAGAGACATGAGAAGCGGGTTGATAAAGAAACCAGCAGTTTATCACAACAAGCATTRGGCCTAAGTTTCAAACTCTCCAATCTTTATTTAGAATTTTAACTAACAGATCGATTGTGTGTGCTTTGGGCAATCCGATGGTTATTGAGTGACCTGCCTGACTGAACAGTTCATTCAACCTCAATCAATCCTGTTTCATAACTTCATTACATCTTATTCACCCATTACAGAATTCAACTTCAGCTCAAAATCTCATCCTTAAAACTAMAAATAAAACMTYTTCTCATGCCGAGTCATTTCTGCAGGACTCGTACCGGCTGGCTGTTCTTCTCACCTCGTGAAACAGCTTCTCCAGCTTCTCCTGCAGCTCCGCAAAGTAGCGGGAAGTAACCAGGCCTTTCTGGGACTTGTCCAGGCAGTCTCTGACCAGCTCGACCAACTGGTGCTGGATGAAGCCCAGCACGCCGTCGGCCAACGGGAGGGAGCTGTCTGGAGAGCAGTGGGTGATGATGTCAAACAAGCGCTCCTCCATCTGAGCTGTGGCCTTCAGGGARAAACAAGAACACAAACACAGTTAAAATACTCAAAGGACAAGTAATTCAGATAATTCTTCTTTCTGTGGAATCATGCCCCTGTCGTTTTTGATGTGGAGAAGAGTCATATGSTTGTAGAGCTTTACAGGTGATTTATCAAAACTTTTAATATCAAGACTAAATGTCATTTAAAGGGAACATATCATGCAAAATCCACTTTTTAGCTGTTAAATGCATTTTGTTGTGTACTTGGAGTCTCTAGGAGTGCAGGAAAGTTGAATTGAGTTTCTCCCAGCGCTGCATAGATGTCTTTACAGTCTGTTTGAGTCATATTTTGTTCAGCTTTTTCTATTTTCTATGACGTTTTCTGAACTATTATTTACATTAAAGTATTAGCGACAGAATTGCCAGATAAGTCTGAAGCAACTACAATGTGTTGGTCTTCATTCTCTGGCTCTGAGTCAGACTCTGGATCCAACATGTGAAGCTGGATGGACAAGTCTTCCCTTGTTGACATCTTCTAATTCAGGGCTATTCAACTAAATTGCTCCGGGGGCCACAGTTACTGCAGGCCAACAGCTGAACATCCAGGAATTAAAGTTATTATGTAAATAAACCAAGTATTAGATTTATTTATTTATTCATTTAATTTCTTTAAAAACAACAAAATTTTATGTATAATTAAAAAAAACACAAATCACAAATAAAATGAAAGGTGACAGAAAGACAAAACAATCTTATATCTGTGCCTCTTTTTCTCAAAAAATTAATTTAAACAATAATGATCTTCAAACAAAAACTAACAAAAAACAAAAAATAATTGCTGATAATTAAACATTATCAAAACAAAAAGAACACATTATGACTCCTATTTAACACAAATATTATTTTGACATCTCTGACCTGCCAAACTTTTAAAACAATTTTATTTTCACTTTCATCATTTTATTTTCAACTGCTTGTAGTTTTAACTGTCTTGAGTGTTTATAGAAATGGTTTTTACCAGCTTGTAGCCAAGATTCTTACGTTTCTGTAGATACCAAACATGTCTATGTTTAACTAAAAGAACTTAGAGTAATTAAAGTAGAAAACCGGGGGTTTGGGTTAAAGAGATGAATAAACCAACTGGCGGGCTGAACTTTGGTCACTCGTGGGGCCGCCAGTTGAATAGCCCTGTCCTAATTCATTTGTAAGTAATAAAATTTCTACGTCATTATAGTCATAAACCCCTCTATCAAASTGGAATGGACCGGTCTGGAAGCTGGAGGGGGGCGGGATTTGAGCCGTATTTGGATTTAAAGAAACAGCCTCAAATTGAGTTGATCAGACACACCTCAGAAAAGGGGTGAAAGAGGGGCTTGTGGAGTTACAATAAGGAGGAATCCAAAGCATTGCAGGTCCACTTTATATAAACCCCAACTGAAGGATTTAAATGTGAAAATAAAGGATTTAAAWGCGTGATATGTCTCCTTTAAAAAAAGCTGTTGTTTCAAGAAACATCTGGCATTTTTTCTTCTGTCTTTTAAATAGATTTAAAACCAGTTTTGATTTGTTTAGAAGGAAAAAATGCAAACTGAGCCAAGCACAGAGTTTAAATGTTTTGCTTTAATTTTAGATTACGTACCTTTGGAAAACGTTCTCTGTAAACATGGTTCATCATGACTATCTCATTATCAAAGGAGACGCTGGATCGGCCGGGACTACAACGGAAACAAAACAACACATTAATTTGTCAGCTGACTGATGACACAAACTTTTATCCATACATAATCCAATGGCCGTGTCTGCTGGACTAGCAAACTGGGCTGTGGGGTGAGAACAGTCACCTCACCCAGGTCATCACTTCTCAAAGCACAAGCAGTCAGTCCAGTTGTGTGCAACCAACCACGCAGACCATAAACTGATTCTGGGTGTGACAGAACGTGTTTACATGAGGTCAGCTTTAGCACTGCTTCGGATGCCGCGCTGCCAAAAGCAATACTGCCAGAATCTTAATCCCGCAGCTCTCACACTGAACTCAAAGTGGATTTCACTGTCAGGCTTTAAGGTTTCTCTATAAAACATATCTTTACCAGCAGCTGAGGTTTTTCTTGGCCAAACTGCGTGAATCATCAGCACCAATTAGTCATGTAGCTCAACGACGCTTCTGTATTTAAAGCCAATGACATAAACAGGTTTTCTCGCTGAAAGATTTTGCTCGATGAAGCTTCAAACAGAACAGATGGAGGGAAAACCTATCACATGCAAACAGACTCCCCGAGCCTTCTTGTGTTTGTTTGTTTTTTGTCATGAAAGACGCCTCTGTTACTCTGGATGGCTGCTGCACAACACACACTGCTGCAGCTCACTGCGGTTCTCTGGATCAGCAC